ACTTTCTCTTGGGTAATATCTTCACATACGAGCCTCTCCCTATCGGGATTCTTTTTGCCCTAGGTGGGTAGTAATACGGAGCTTTATGGTGTACATTTGCCTGGAAAATTACAGCCATTTCCCTTGAAATTCCCAGTTTTATTTGAACTATAACTACTGCTTCACCATACAAACGATTCTCATTTTGAAGGTGGGATAATAGCTTTGCAGCTCCATTCCTGGGAGAGACACGTGATATAACCTGCAGAGTACGGTAGTAGGACTTCTTTACTTGCTTGTATAGACCACTTCGAGAAAGTTGCCTTCCTCGATGAAACCTATGATTCCTGTGAATGGCTTTTAGATCTTAAATTTAGCTTGTTCAGTTCCTCAAGTAGAGACAAGACATGATCAACATCTAGGACCCTTTCAATCAGCCCTAATTGCTTGGTAGCCTAAGAGGGCCAACTATCTGATCTGAGCAACTTCTCGAATGGTCTGCATTCTCTTACGAGATCGTGGACGATTGGGCAGGTTGGAGGAGAGGCCTTCAAAGGAGGCATGTTAAGGCTTTTTGGACCTCCCTCCATGCATTTAGTAATGCACCTCACTCCCTGTGGACAGAACTCATCGCCTCTCCTTCTAGTTGAGGAACCTTTCCACGACCCGCCTGTTATCTTACTCACTGCCTTGTAAGCAGGACTTGCTTTCCTGGTTGCAGTGAGAAAGGAGTACAGTAGGAAAGGAGTTATGAGGCGAGTACAGCGGCGGTAACGCTGAGCTCTACTTCTATCTTTACGCATCCAAAATACCAGCCAATGCCGGGCTTCCCTCCTTCTTATGGGTTGGCCCGGCTACGCCGGACGCTCTTCCTTTCTGTGAGAAATTGGCTATGCGTAAATAACACTTCGGATTCTCCTTTTTCTTTGAAAGCTCTANACCCTCAGTATTAGCTCCAAAATGGTAGCGACTTTTTCTGTAAGCCATCTTCGCAGTGTCCGAATATGAGTCTACAATATTAGCTACCATCAATGTTCCCAGCCAACTCATTGTGCCTTCATGTTTCAACGGTCTGGGTCCGGACGAACACAATATATATTCACGCCCCGCCCTTTGGGGCGGAGTTTAGTCCTGCAACCTATCATCAGTGTACCTATCCTACCTCCTGTATCCCTACCAAATCGCTCTAGGTCCATTATGGAATTTTTCTGCAAGCTCCGCTCCCTGAGGGCGGAGTACGGCCTTGACATCCACCGCAAAGGTTCCCTTCCTGACGCCTGTGCTCCTACCAAATTGTAACTCTCTAGGTCCACTTAAACAGGAGTTATCGTTTTCCGCTCAAACCCCGCCCAGTGTGAGCGGAGGCCGATCCTGCCACCCACCATGAATGTTCACATCCTGCCACCTGTGCTCCTACTAAACTTGAACGCTCTACGTCTACGTTTACGTTTTTCACGCAAACCCCGTCCCTTCTGGGCGGAGTCCGGTTCTGCCATCAACCATGAGCGTTCTCATCCTGCCGCCTGTACTCCTACAAAATTTCAACGCTATGGTTCCACGGAACTGTGAGTTATGGTTTTTCACTCAAACCCCGCCCATTGTGGGCGGAGTTCGGTCCTGCCACCCACCATAAGTGTTTCCATCCTGACGCCTGTACTCCTATCAAGTTGAGCGCTTTTGGTCCGCGGGGACAGAAGTTATGACTCTCCGCTCAAACATTTGCTTCGCACAAACTCCGCCCCCTGTGGGCGGGGTACGATCTCGTCCACCATAATAAGTGTTCCCATCCTGCCGTCTGTATTCCTACCAAATTTGAGCGCTTTAGGCCCACGGGGACCGCAGTTATGAATTTCCGGTCAAACACACAACTACACACACAGACACACACACACACAGACGAACCAACAGACACACCGCGTTCTATATAGTAGGATAGCACAGTTCCGGCGCGTGTCGCGTGCGCGACTCTTGGCCAATCGCCGAATACCTCTCGACGGTAGATACCACGATTGGAGAGATTCGAACGTCCCGTGAACGTGTGATACAGTAACCCCCTTAGTGTCTCACCACCTGCACCGTGGGTCTCACCTGGGGTACCATTTTGTTGCGTTCTGTATGTAACGGATGTTTGGAGGCGCTTCATTGTGTCTTCTGTAACTATGTAACACATTCGGGACGATGAAATCCGTCTTGTGATATTAGGTGACAGATAGTCCTCGATTGAACTTATTTCACTACTGTTTGCTTCAATAACAAATGTGTAACACTTATTCTGAGTTCTAAGCGTCTAGATATTATTCCGGGTGGGGTGCGCTAGGAACGAAATTGTCCGTCGCGGCGAAATGCCGCGCTAAAGAATGTAACAGAATGCAGCAGCAAGTTAGAAATACTGGAACAATAGAACTAACAGTAGAATCATGCCAAAAGTAATAATCGCATAACGACTGAGCTGAATGAAGAACGCTAGAACTGTTATGGCGAGACAAATGGTCCGCGACAGCCGCGTGCGGCGGATAGACTACCCAAAACCGATCCTACTGCCCGTGCCCTTGCTATTCCTTTATGTTTTGTTGATGGTGCTATGAGGTTGACTCACTTAAGAGTTTTTTTTTATGTTCCTAAGCTCTTCACTCTTATGGACACCTTGAGCAGCCAAGTGCCTTCTTGGTAGGGCGTAGTTGTTCAACTTCGGTTTACCCCGATTCCATGAAAGGGTATTTTTGAACCCTGATATGAAGTAAAATTTTCTACAAACTTCCACCAGTTGAGTAGAACAAAACCATAATTTTTTCTCAACAGAACATGTTTTAGCCTTTTGAAATCACGTTAGAACATGTCAGAACAGAGCCGCGCACGCGACACGCGCTGGAGAGTCCCCTATATGGGAGACGTGCTGTAGGAACGGTTTTGTGTAATCGATTCGTCGCACGCGGTGTCGCGGACCATTCGCTTCGCCATTATTACGGCTATAGCGTTCGTCATACAGCTCAATCGATATGCGATCATTATTTTAGGTATATGTAATTCTAGGCGCTAAGTGGGGGGG